CCGCGAGCCGCGGCGTGGACCTGGGCGTGGCCGTCGTCCTGCAGTCCAGCGACCAGACGGTCTTGTTGACACGAAGGACACGCACCCTCCGAGTTTCCCCCAACCTCTGGGTGCCCCCAGGTGAGCGCCTAGGACACGGTCCCGTCCCCGGAAACGCTGTTCGCAGCCCGGGAGCCCGAAGGCCCGGGCAGGGGTCTGGCCCTCATCACCGGCCCCCCGCGCCCTGCGCACCGCGGGGCAGTGAACAGTGAGCGGGCCGGCCAAGCGCACGCCGCTCACCGCCCGGGCCCTGTTGTTGCAGGCGGCCACGTGGACCCTGGCGAAGCGGTAACCATGCGGCCCCGCCCTGCACACCCTGCACCGTCCTGAGCTGAGGCCTCTGGGACCCGCTGGGTGCGGCCGGGGGAGGGGCCCAGGCCTCGGAGGTCAGGCCTGGCGTCTGACCCGGCCTCTCTCTGCAGCTGCTGGACGCAGGCCTCCGAGAGCTTTGGGAAGAGAGTGGACTGCAGCTGCCCCAGGGCCAGTTCTCGTGGGTCCCCCTGGGGTTATGGGAGGTGAGACAGGGGCCTCTCTGTTTAACCTGGAACCCCAACGCCTCTACCCCACCAGAACCCAGGGAACAGCCTTGCCTGCCTTTGGAGAGTGGGTGGTCTGGAGTTCCCAAATCCGTGTTCCTCACCCGTGTCCCTCCTGCGCCATCTCTACCCTCCACTTCCTCAGCTATATTTTCAATCTCAAGAAGAGACAGGAAGTTCTCATTTTTGCCATTTTCTTCTTAGTCCGCCTACCCTCCTAGGCTGAGCTGGGGTCCCCCCAAATACCATCATATCGTTCTCTACCTGCTGGTGGTCTCCCAGGAGTCGCAGCAGCAGCTGCAGGTAGGGCTGGCGGGAGGAAAGGGTACTAGACTGGGGAGGCCCAAGCAGGCTGGTCTCACCGTGACTAAGGTTGGGGGTTCAGGGGGTGTCAGGAGAAGCCATCCTCCCGGCTCCAAGTTCCTCTCCATCCACCAGGGGTGGTTGTGATCAGAATAGGCCTCCTGCCAGAGGCCATGATAAAGGGATCAACGTGTCTGGCCCCAGGCCCGGATCCAACCAAACCCAAGTGAGGTGAGCGCCTTCCTATGGCTGGGCCCAGAGGTAGCAGCTGCAGTGGCCGCCTCCGAGGATGGGACAGAGGCACCCAGACCTCTCTCCCAGGACCTGCCACCCTCTGTTGTGTAAGTAAGAGCTGCTCCCTGACCCTCCAACACACCAACACATACACATTGAAAAAAAGCTTCCGTTTCCTGGGGGTGAGGGGGACTTGAGTGATGGGAGAGATTAGGGCAGGGGTCCTCAAACTACGGCCCGCGGCCACATGCAATACAAATATTGTATTTGTTCCCGTTTTGTTTTTTTACTTCAAAATAAGATATGTGCAGTGTGCATAGGAATTTGTTCATAGTTTTTTTTAAAACTATAGTCCGGCCCTCCAACGGTCTGAGGGACAGTGAACTGGCCCCCTGTTTAAAAAGTTTGAGGACCCCTGGATTAGGGGGTGAGTTGGTCAACTGATAATGAAGAGAACACAGAGATCAAAGACACCGTCCTTCGAAACGCCAAGGCTTCCTGCTCTGACTGGCTGGCCCTGAAGACCTGGGTTTGTGCCCCCTCTCCCATAGGGGCGCCATTTGACCTCCCTGAACCTGTTTCCTTTCTGTAGAAGGAGGTACCCACCACCCATCCCTCTCCAGGGGTGGTTGGGGGGGGGGGGGTTAGATGGCCTAACGGCTATGGAAGTGGCTAAGCCAGAGCTCACACACGGGTTGTCGTGGTGCAGTGCCATGGAACTGGAGGAGGGAGAAGTCCGACCTCTGGCCCTGCCCATGTCCACACTGCTGCAGACGACCCCGGCCACCGCAGAAGGCAAAGAGAGGGTCAGCACTGGGACCAAGTTTGCCCTCAGGCTCTGGCTGCAACACCTGGGCAGGTGAGGGAGGGTTCCCCAGTACTGGGCTGAAGGCACTAGAGCACGGAGGTGGAGGGTGGGGGAGGGGGCCGGGGAGGAAGAACAACTCCCCTTGGGAACCCTCAGGGTGACGCCCCTACCACGTGCAACTGGAGCTCGTGTGGACCCTGGGCCTGCAAAGGAAGAACAGAACGTGGACCCCCTCCCCCCAAACCAGGGACCTGGAAAACCAAGTGCATAATCCCCTCCCCAGCCCACCTCTATGACACAGAAGATTCACAACCTTTATTATGGGTAAGAACTTTGCTACAACTTTGGGAATAAAAAGTAAAATTACAACAGAGGTCCTAGGCCCTGGAGGAGCCTGAAAAAGGAGACTGGGGACAACACAAGGGTCCTCCCACCTCCCAGGAAAGGTGCAGAGTCAGCCAGACCTCACCACAGGCTGCGGGCCGTTAGAGGCGCGGGCGCTGGGCTGGTCAGCATGAGAAACACTGTGAACTTAAATATATAAATAGAGAGAGCCCCAGGCATCGGCCGGGCCCTGCTCCCAGACTCCTGGGGGTCAGGGCTAAGGCCTTGTCTCTGCCTCAGGGAGATACACTGGGAAGTAGGAGGCAGGGGAAGTCGTCTTTGGATGTATTTTGGTTTTCCTTGTTTATGTACAAAAAATCTACAACCCAAAATAGAGTTCTCTGTCCATGTGTCTGTCTGTCTTAGTTCTCCACCTGTCTGTTTGGCCAAAGAGAACAGATGGACATGAAGAGACAGTGGCTCTGGGGACGGAACTGAGCCATGGTTCGGGGACTGGGAAGAGAGGGCATAGAATTCAGCCCTCCCCGCAACTCCCACCCCATCCCATCTGCCTCCCACTGCCTTCGCTAACATACCCAAAGGGATATGCCAGCCATCTCAAGAACACTTCAAAAAGTAGGAAGGACCCAATGTCCTTTAAAAGAGGTTAAATATTAACCCTTTGGATGCCGGCCTTGTCAGGCAGAAATGAGGCCAAAAACTAGTGTCTGTGAAGGTCTTTCTTGCCTGTGGCCAAACCCCCCCTCAGGGGCAGAGTGGCCAGGGCTCTGGACTCCACAGCATCCTTGCCCATTTTTGCTGGGAGACAGTGAAGGTTCCATAATCCAGGGGACTCAGTCCAGGGAAATGATGTCTGACCTGCAGCCAGTCAAAGAGGGGCCTGGGGGCAGGGGTCCTCCGTGCCCCTCCCTCAAGGCCCCCCCAGGAGCCACAATGCTACTGACTCGGCCAGGAGGGGGTGCTGGAGTGGTGCTGCGGTGAGAGTTCCCCAGTGCGGGGGCTAATGGGCCCAGGAAGTGGGAAGGGGTCCCTCGGTACTGGAAGAAATGGCCAAGGGCATCCTGCTCATCTAGCGAGGTGATGACGGAGGGGCCGTAGTGCTGGGGGAATCAAGGGCACAGTGTAAGGTTTTATCCATTCTTTACCTGCCTCCCATCACTCATCTTGGAAACATCCTGGATAAAGCAACCCCGCTGGGTCCCGAGTTCTTCTCTGAGAAGCAGGGGAGCCTCTCTGATTCTTTCCCTACTTTCCCACACCCACCCTGCCTCCCTGCCTGGTGGGTGTCTGAAGTGAGGAGTGTCCGGAGGAGGCAGGCATGGAGCTCAGTGCACATGGGCACGGAGGGTGAGCCGGCGAGGGGCGGACTATACTGAAATCTGGAGACAGAACAGCAATAGGGATCGAGGAAGATGTAGGTGAGAATCTGAGGAAGTACTAGGGGGGCCTCGGAGGGAAATAAACTGCCTGTTCCATCCCCTCTTCTCTCTCAGAGAAGCTGATTTAGGTGCACAGGGAAAGTGAGGGGGGGGTGCCCACTAGTGCCCAGAAAGGGAGCTTCAGGAACCTGAGATCTTCATAGGAGAAGGGATCACTTACCTGACTTTCAGTCTGAAGGAAAGAAAATAAATCTAAACCTGGGAAGAAAAAAATTAAAATCAACTTCCTGTCTGACCCCTTCACTGCAAAAAAAACAAAAAGGAGTTCCCTGGATTGTGGCCCTTTGCAGAGACCCAGGAAGCTCTGAAAGGGAGCGGGTTCTGACCCGGTTCCGGGGAGGATGGAACAGTGAGGGGCCCCACTTGGTGGCGCGTCCTACCTTGGATGTCCGCCCCCAGGGGGAAGGCAGGTGGGTACTCGTGCAGTGGGAGACTGGACAGGAACTCGCTGCCCAGCGCCCCCATCGCAGGGCTCCGCAGCACCGACGACGCCGGCTGGTGACCAGATGCCAGGACCCTGTGAGGAGACAAGGAGCTGGGGCAGCCAGCGGACCCCCGATGCCCCCGCCCGGCTCGGCCCCCGGAGTCCCCTCTGCACCATGACCAGAAAGCTCTCCTGACTTTTTCCTGTTCCTTCGGCTATAGGTTCAGACTATTTCCTCATACCCTTTGCTTCCAGGCAGAGCCGGGATGGCAGCTGAGGTGACAGGGCAATGCTTCTTGGTCGGGGGCAGGTCCTCCTCCTCATCTGATGAGCTTTCTATTGTCAGGTCAATAACTTCAACCTTCTTCTTATTCTCTGATGGATTGCCCTCTTGGACTGGGCTGTACTGGGGGCCTGTGGGTGACAAGGAGACTGTGTCTCAGAGAAGAGGCCATTCAAGACTTAGCTCAGCTGGGGGACAGGGGGTCACTCACCATCCAGCCCATACCCTGGTGGGGGGCAAACCTCAGATGCCTCCTTCTTGGGTTTCAATGGGCACCAGGATCCATCTTCCATGAACTGGATCTCATCACAGTCCGAACAGGAATTAAGAATCTCCATGAATAAACTGGGGGAGGGAGAGAAGGGACTTCATGGGACTGGAGTTGGCAGGGACAACAGCCAGGAAATTCTGCTACTCATCTTCCTGAACCTCAGTTTCCACATCTGTAAAATGGGGATATCATCTCCCCCCACTTAGCTGAGTTGTTAGAACCAAGTACTACATGTAAAAGAGCTTTGCAAACAGTTTTAAAACAAGTATCTTCTAAGCATCTATGACATGTAGTACCAGGGACAAAACAAGGAGCAGAGATAGGGAACTCCACGCACCACCTTGAAAAGGGCCTGGGAGCAAGAACCGTGAAGCAGGTCTGGAAGGGGCCAGAGAACTCGCTCGGTCAGCATATCCAGGCCCTCAAAGAACTTTATTGCTGGGCTCGGTGAGAGGTCCGGTCATTGTTGTAAGCACTGTAATAGTTCGCTACAGTGGCTCTGCCACTCACTAACAATGTAACTTTGGGCAAAATACTCCATCTCTCTAGGCCCCAGTTTCCTCTCTGTAAGGATGGTACCTCTGTCACAGTTATTATGAGGACACAAGGAAACAGGTGTGCCGAGTGCTCAGAGCCATGCCTAGCATGTAGTAAGTCCTCAATGTTGGGAATATGTAAGTAGATATTATAAAAGGGGATAGAGTACATATGTATATGTATATGTATATACACACATAAACACATATCTATACACGTGCATGTATGTGAGCGCGAGAGTGAGTCCCAGTGGCTGTCCTAGGGAAGGACAAAACAGCAGAGTGGCCCTACCCATCAATGATAAGAGATTCATAGGGAGCCTTCTTGTCACACACAGGACACGTCCACGTTGGCTTCTTCTCATTCATCTGCAGATACAGGGCAGCATCGAAGCTCTGCAGGTGGGCGCAGGTGAGGGCACGACAAGGGACGGTCAAGCGCATCTTCCCGAGCTGTGGAGAGAGGAGTTCTCTGTGTAAGGGCCCCACGCCCCGGAAAGCCTCACTCTAGTGGCCCCAGGCAG